GAAAAAAAAAAGAATATAGAACTAGTTATTTTGTAGAAAGTCTCTTAATACAGTATGTCTGATGCTTTCTCATAATTAGTCAGAATATGCACTTTTTTGGCAAGAATACCACAGAAGTGATGTTGTATTCTTATTACAACACGCCAAGTGGCAGATGATGTGATTACTGATGTGGTTAACTTTGATTGGTTAAGGTGTCTACTAGGTTTTGTAACATACCAGTTATTTTTAGGGAGGGATACTTGGAGACTCTTTAAATATCCTGTTAATACTCAAACTTTTTTCCACTAGTTCTTTTTTTGTAAATATGTTTTTATTGATTTCCGAGAAGAAGGGAGAGGGAGAAATAGAAACATCAATGATGAGAGAGAATCATTGATTGGCTGCCTCCTACACGCCCCCTACTGGGGATTGAGCCCACAACCTGGACATGTGCCTTTGGCCGGAATTGAACCTGGGATCCTTCAGTCTGCAGGCAGACGCTCTATCCACTGAGCCAAACCGGCGCGATCTGTCCATTATTTTAACATCCATCGATGATTATTTTCTGAATCTGTTGTGAAGATTGACAAATGGTGATTTTCTAATCCAGTTATTCTTGTTTTCATTTATTAGTTGGATTTCTACTGTAAGGAAAATCTTTCTATTTGTTTGTTTGTGTGTTTATCTACACCTGTGTAGACATAGTTTTGTTTTATTTTCAATGCTTTAAAATCCTTTACTGTTATTTTTTATGTGGATGCCCAAGTTGATTCAGATTTAGCCAGTGGGAACCCTTCATGCTAATTTCAGTGCCCTTTTTTAAAAAAAAATTTACGATATTAGGTGTGAATATATTTGAAATTGGGTATTTTTTAGAGCAGTTTTAGGTTCACACTAAAAGTTCCTCTGCCTTTTAAAAACTCCTCATCATTTCTTTGACAACTGATGGTATTTTAAAAAATGTTTCCTCTGTATTAATGACTAAACAACTTTGTTAAGAAGCAGATTAAAAAAAATAGACTTAAGTTTGTGTAGCTTCGGTTCATAGCAAAATTGAGCAGAAAGTAGAGTTCTCATATCTCTCATCCCCACACGCGCATAACCGCTCCGACTACCAGCATCCGAAGCAGAGCGGTGCGTTTGTTATAAGGGATGGCTCTTCCTCGGCACATCTTCATCCACCAGAGTTCTTGGTGGTGTGCGTTGACAGGTGTGTAATGACAGGTAACCACCGTTACCATGTCATGGAAGAGTTTCACTACCCTAAAAATCCTCTGTGCTCTGCCTAGTCATCCTTCCCTCAATCCTAACATCAGCCGTTCTTCTTATGGTCTCCATAGCTTGCCTCTTCTAGAATGTCATATAGTTGGAATAAGAGTTATATAAGAAGTATTGCAGATTGGCTTCTTTTGCTCAGTAATATGCATTTAAGGTTCCTCCATGTCTTTTCATGGCTTGATAACTCATTTCCTGTTAGTACTGAATGGTATTTAATTGTTTGACTCTACTGCTGTTTACTTATCCATTCACCTACTGAAGGACATCTTGGTTGCTTGCAAGTATAGGCAATTATGGATAAAGCTGCTGTAAATATCTGTGTGCAGGCTTTTGTGTGGATATAATTTTTCAACCCCTTTGGGTAAACACCAAGATGCACAATTGCTGGGTCTTATGGTAAGAAAGAGCATGCTTAGTTTTGTAAGAAACTTCCAAACTCTCTTTCTAAACGGCTGTACCATTTGCATCCCCACCAGCAGTGAGGGAGAGTACCTGTTCCACATCCCTTGTCAGCATTTGCTGTCATCAGGGTTCTGGCTTTTGGTCATTCTAGTAGGTGTGGAGTGGTGTCTCATTGCTGTTTAGTTTGCAGTTCCCTACTGACATAAGATAGTGAGCATTTTTTCATGACTGCTTGCCATCTGTATATGTTCATTGGTGAGGTGTCTGTTCAGGTCTTTTACCCATGTTCTAATTGGATTGTTTGTTTTCTTATTGTTGAGTTTCAAGAGTTCTTTGTATACTTAGGATAACAGTCTTTTATCAGATTTGTCTTTTGCATATTGCATATATTTTTTCCTATTCTCTGGCATTTTTTTGACATTCTTTATACAATGTGTTTTGCAAAGCAGTTTTTAATTTTAACCGATCCAGCCTATCAATTACTTCTTTCATTGGTTGTGCCTTTGGTACTTTATTTAAAAAGACATTGCCATAGCCAAGGTTATATAGATTTTCTTTTTATTTTCTAGGAATTTTATAGTTCTGCATTTACATTAGGTATGTGCTTAATTAATACACACACACACACACATTCAGAGAGGAAGAGAGAGAGATAGAAACATCAATGATGAGAGAGAATTATTGATTGGCCGTCTCCCACACGCTCCCCACCCGGGATGGAGCCCACAGCCTGAACATGTGTCCTGACCGTGACTTCCTGGTTCATAGGTTGATGTTCAACCACTGAGCCATGCTGGCCAGGCTGTGCTTGATTTTATTTTGTGAAGGGTGTGAGGTCTGTGTCTAGAGTCTTTTTTTTTTAATGCATGTGTAGTTATTCAGCACCGCTTTTTGAAAAGACTATCTTTTCCCCATCATATTGCCTTTACTGCTTTCCAAGATCTGTTGACTCTATGTATGTGAGCCTGTTTCTGGGCTCTCTGTTCTATTCCATTGACTTATTTGTCTGTTCTTTTATCAGTATTCCAGTCTCGATTACTTTCTATATATATAAAAGGCTAATATGCAAAGTGTCCCCTTGGGAGTTTGACCAGGAGACTGGGAGTTTGATCACACGCTATGACGTCCACTGATCATCAGGGGGCGGTGCGGAATGAAGGAAAGCTCTGGCCGGCAGCTGGCATCCAGGGAAGAAGGCCCTGGCCAGCAGCTGAAGGCCCTGATTGCCAACCAGGCCTAGGGACCCTACTCGTGCACGAATTTCATGCACCGAGCCTCTAGTACAGCCGTGGGCAAACTACGGGGCCGATCCGGCCCGTTTGAAATGAATAAAACGAAAAAAAAAAGAGACCGTACCCTTTTATGTAATGATGTTTACTTTGAATTTATATTAGTTCACACAAGCACTCCATCCATGCTTTTGTTCCGGCCCTCTGGTCCAGTTTAAGAACCCATTGTGGCCCTTGAGTCAAAAAGTTTGCCCACCCCTGCTCTAGTAGCTTTATATTAAGTCTTGATGTCAGGGTAGCCAGTCCTCTTTTATTTTTTCCTTCACTACTCTGTTGGCTATTCTGAGTCTTACACTTCACTATATAAACTTTAGAATTAGTTTGTTGATAAATAACTTGCTGGGATTTTGATTGGGATTGCATTGAATCTTTTGATCAATTTGGGAAGAACTGAGATTTTGACAATATTGTCTTCCTGTCCATGAACATGGAATGTCTCTTTAGTTCTTTGATTTCTTTCATTAGTGTTTTGGAGTTTGTATATATTTTGTTAGAGTTAGTTTTAAGTGTTTCAAATTTTGAGGATGCGAATGTTAATGTTTTTAATTTCGTATTCCATTGCTGGTATATAGGAAGGTAATTAATTTCTGTATATTAACCTTGTATCCTGTAAACTTGCTGTAATCTACACCTGTTAGCTCTAGGAATTTTTTTTTTTTAATTCATGAATGAGTGTTTGATTTTGTCAAATGCCTTTTCTGCATGTGTTTATGTGTGGGGTTTTTTTGGGGGGCGGGGGTTGTGTCCTGCTGATCAGATGGATTACATTACTGATTTTTAAACATTGAACGAGCCTTGCATATCTGGGATAAACTCTACTTGGTTGTGGTATATAATTCTTTTTATACATTGTTGGGTTAGATTTACTAATATTTTGTTGAGGATTTTTGCATCTGTGTTTATGAGAGGCCTTGCAAAGACAGATTTCATTACGTCAGTTTAAGTCTGTTTTAGGTTTTCTGAAGTGTGATTCATCTGTGCAAGTTTAGGGTGAAAGAAACTTTGATTCATATTTTGACATATTTCCTCTCTTTTGTGAATTGTACCTGTGAGTTGGTGAAAGAAGCTATATTCTTAAGTTTCCAAATGTTTTAACATTGCTTCTCAAACAGTTCTGAGTAGCATCTTCACAATATCCCTGCGCCTTTTCCAGCCTTAGCAACCTAAGCCTTAGTTTTTAGTCTAGAACAGCATTTGTTACCTTCCTGGTTTAAAAAACTTTTCATTATGAAAAATTATATGCATATAGAGAGATGAGCAGAATTAAATCTCATGTATCTGTCCCCCAGGGTTTGCATAGGTAACCGTCTCACGAGTGCTGTGGCTTGACATCTAGTTGTTAGTGGCAACCACTGTCCACTGAGGTCCTGCCACAGGAGTGGATCCCGCCCCCTAGAATTCCTTTCTTTTGCCTGAGTCGCCCAAACCTCTACTCTCCTTTCTTCAGGCCACTCAGTGTAGTCTCTTCAGCGGCTCACATTCCATACCAGAAGCCCTGAGCCAGAAGTTTTGAAAGCTTGGCAGCCTGATTGAAACTGAGGGGAGGGCATGATACAGGGCACACACCGTGTTCAGAACTCAGCTAGCTCCAAGAGGAAATACAGTCAGTGTCAGATGTCACTAGAAGTGTGATTGCTCGGACTTGAAAAAAACTTCATGAGAGAGATGAGCCTTGAACCCCGCCTCACAGGATGGGTAGTACTTGTGTTTCTCAGCTGGTGCTAGAGCAGCGGTCGCCAACCTTTCAGCCCGCGGACCACCGGTTGGCGACCGCTGCCTTGAAGTGTGTATTATTGGCGGGGTTGTGCATGAGGCTGGGGTATGTGTGTTCTGTGTGGGCACATGGGGAGGGGAGAGCTCAGGAAGTCTTGTTCTTGGGAGATTGATGCTGAAGATGTGACCTGGATGCATTTAGAAAGGGAAGGCGCTTAGGAGGTCTTAGAGGAGGGAGTCTGACCTGGCTGAGGCAGGGGTGATGCAGTTGGGAGGGGAAGAAAAGAACTGGACAGAGACCGCTACAGAGAGCATGCGGGGCATACAGAGGCACAATTTAAGATGATTTTGCATTTATGCTGGTGCAAGGGCATTGATGGTGTCCTCAGTGGGGACTGGGGAAGTCAGGGTAGGAGTTTGTTGTCAGAGGAAGATAAGAGGTTTACTGTAGGATGTGGGAAGCGATTGGAGCCCTGGAATGAGGTCAGATTGTAGAGAGAGGCTTCAGCGTATCAACAGTCTCAGGGTCTCGCTCAAGACCAGTTATTTATTCAGTCGACTGTTGTGAGGAAGACAGTGATGTAGAAAGATGCTGAGGAGAAAAGAGGACATAACTGGAATTTTTGGCATAAGAGTTAAGTAGTACTTCATATAAATATTATAATTCACAATTAATTACCTTGCAATATTTTAGCAGAACATGGAAATTCAACATGTTTGGAATATCCTTTTAGTTTTTAGCTTCATCTTTATTCCCCTAAGATGCTTTTTGAGCATTTGTAAGTCTCTACAGGTTTATATTAATTAATACTTCCGTCAATGATTCTATGAACAGATATTTATATTACTAAATATAGACTTGTATTACTAAAGCTAATTTAGAACCTTAAAGACTGATATTAGTCCTTTCTTTGGATACTTTATCATCTGAAACTGGCAGCTGAGCTTCTCTGTCTGTTTCTTAAGGAGTTTGTACTTGAGGATTGTTCCCTTCTACGGTTCCTTCACAGGCTTCAGTAGGTGGGGGAATTTGTAGTATAGACTTCAGTGTAGATATGTCTTCTACAGTGTTTAAGTAGAGCTTCACAAATATGGCTTAATTAATTTGTTATTAAGCATGACAGTATAAAAGGTGTTCAATTACTAGCCCCTCCCTTCCCCCCAGCCACTAACCCATATATCCATAATACGTGTGCTTTCATCATTATTTGAACTGGGAAGGGTATGATCCAAAGCAGTTAGGAATTGGTACTGGACAGGGTTGATGTGCTTGGAGACATGTGGCAGAGCTTGATGCACAGATGGATTCATGGCCTTTGTTTTACAGGATGGGAACTGCTGCAGTGGCCTTTGAACCAAGGAATATGTTTTAAGGGTAGCAGTTGTGTCTGGTTCCCCTTAAATAAGGTCCAGATTATGCAGATTTTATTGCTGCTTAATTGTACCAATTAATTGAAGTATCATTCATTGGATAGCACAGGAAGTCTACGTTAATGTAAAATCAGACTTGAAAATTAAATTTACTTGGACATCTGACTATATCTTAATAACTTAAAAGATATTTAATAACGGTGTTGTTTTTCAGTGTGCAATACTTACAGAGCTGGTTGCTGTTACAAAAGATTTTATGTCCTTTTAGGGATGTTGACATCTGGAAGAAAAAAATGTAGTGTTAATTTCATCTCAGTAATGCAGAATCACATAGTTGAGCTGTTGTTATCTTTCCTCTTACATTCCATTTACTGATTGCCACCGGAATAAATGGCTCTCCCAGATAATCCTCTCCAGTGAATTTTAGCTTTCTGTTACCAAAAGCAGAATTTCTCCAAAGTTCCAACTTCCCGTAGAGTGGACATTGTATCTGTTACTGTCTAATACAAATATAACGCCCTGATCCTAAGCCTTGAGCTTGGCTTTGGTTTTGCTTAGTTACTGGGTATTTTGGAAGGTAGGCTATTTACCAGGCATATCTGACACGGATGCTTCCATTTTTTATGCCAAACCTCCTTGTCAGACATGGACCTTTCAATATGCTGTGCGGGCACCTCTGTGCCCTGAGGAGTAGCTAAGATAATAATGTAAGGTAAGCTGTTTAGTTGAGCCTACAGACATATCAAAGTAAGGAGTAGTCAAAGGATGCATAGATTTTTGAATGTGAATATTGTAAATGAAATAGTGAAATGACTTAGAGTATCCCTGTCATTTGTCTTGTCATGTAAGTTTCTACTTGTTCATTTTAACTTCCAATAGCATGAGCAAGGAATTAATTTTTTCCCCGAGAAACTAAAGGAAGAAAATGCCTAATTAATATGAAAATTGCCATTAAATCTCAATTGTCCATTTTAGGGATACTTACATGATTCTAGTTCTCTGACTTTCAAAACACTTGTCACATCATGTGTAATCAGTGTGTACAAACTAAATTTAAAACTCTAAGCAAGGCAGATATAAGCTAGCGGGGCCAGGGAACAATACTGTTGCTGAAGAAGAAAACCTTCGAAACTACTAGTAAATATAAGCAAATTATTGTTTTGTGTTTGTTTTTTACTTGGTTTATAGCAGTTTCCCCCCTTCAGTAATAATAAGCATTGCAGGTGGGAATTGACTAGCACTACTGAGTTAATATTAATGTGCATTTAGTGCTCATCCATTTAAGGTTTCATAGAAAAATGTCTTTCCATTGTCTAATTTGACCAGCCCAACCAGCTACTTTTATTGCTGTGTTAAATTAAAATTCTAAATATAGTAGTTCATTATTAAAAGAAGTGAGCAGGAGTAAAATAGAGAATTGATTAAAATAAAGCCTTTTAAAAATATTTTGGATAAAGTAGCAGGCTTCAAGTGAAATTGAGTTTTGGTCTCCTTTACAGGATTAGAGCTATTCACAGTCAGACAGACCACTTAGCCCGTTTTGCAGGATCTCCCGAGGGAGACTGAATCTTGTCTTTGGTGTGACTTATAACCCATACGTTTATTCTAACTAATCCTGTGCAAGGTGGAGGTCATAGCATGAAAACTAAAGTCTTAGTAAGTGGTTTTTATTTTAGCTATTAAATGGTAGCCTTTCGTGTAGAGTTTGTCCTCTTACCGGTTCATACTGCCCAGGGCGTGAGGGCGTGGCGAGTGGGGGCACTTGTCAAGTGGAAGATGGAGCCTCCAGGTTCAGGAAACACCCGAGAAAGTGTCTGGAAGAGCGTCCTTACCCTCTCTAGGGTTTCTCTTACTTTTCTGGTTAAAAGTAGGTGGAGCGACATTAATTTAGTTGAGAAGGGATTTAAGAAAACGGAAAGGCTGGCTTTAGTGGCCAATGCCTACATTCAAACCATTAAAAAAAAAGTTATGATTCAATTTGTCTTTTAAGTTGCATCATTCATAAATTAGTTATCATTAAATAGTGAAGTCTTCATTTTAGTGTAGTTTTAGGCCCAGTGTTGAATCCTAGTAAACTGTAATAGTGAATATGTTTTGAATATGAATTGAATTTTCAGTGTATTTCAAATACTGAATATTTTGAGTATGAGTATTCAAAATTATATTGGAGTGATATGCTTGTAGTCATCTCGGCGACATTCCGTCGATTTCATTGTCTCACGTATAGGTGATCTGCGCTTTTTATTTATTGTTTCAGACAGACCTAGGTTGTGAGGATATGTAGGCTATCAAGCAACTTTTTCTCTATCTCAATGTTACTTGGTTAATTGTAAGGATTGCTCCTCGACATCTTTCCTTTTTACCTGTGCTTATTAAGAGCAGTGGATAATTAACACTTTCCGCTGTTTTTCTCCCTTAGCAAGAATAAGAGAATTGACTTTGATCTTCTGAATTCTTTAGTAAATCAAGCATTATGATGCTACACCTAGAGAGCATACTAATCCATGTTGCTCGTGATTTGAGAATGGCTATGTGTTTAAGATCCTTGGTTTGTGTTCCTTTCCTTCCCTTTGAGTCTTCGAACTGTTGGTTCCTTTTCTAACTTGATGGCGATTACTGGCTGACATGAAACGTTTCTGTTAGTGGCTTCCCTGCTTTAGGCTCCCTCCCTCCCACAGCACACTTAGTTTCTCCTCTCTCTTGCATTCTGAAATACAATTTCATTAAATCCTGAGAGAGCTAAGGTTTTTCTTTGGGAATTTATCTCCAGTGCCTGAAATTAAAAAAAGAAAATAGGATAGTTCACTATGAAATCTTACATGCATCTTTGGAAAAATTTGTATTTTGTAAATGAAAGCACACTTTTATGTTGGGGGCATATATTCAGAGGTGGAATTATGTCGTTATTGTTTTAATAACCATGTCCTAATTATTTATAGCTTCCTGCTTGACATAACTCACTTCAAGAAGTGCACAATGTCAGAACGTGGAATTAAGTGGGCTTGTGAATATTGTACGTATGAAAACTGGCCGTCTGCAATCAAGTGCACTATGTGTCGCGCCCAGAGACCTAGTGGAACTATTATCACAGAAGATCCATTCAAAAGCGGTTCCAGTGATGTTGGTCGAGATTGGGATCCTTCCAGCACCGAAGGAGGAAGTAGTCCTTTGATATGCCCAGACTCTAGTGCAAGACCAAGGGTTAAGTCTTCGTACAGCATGGAGAATGCAAATAAATGGTCTTGCCACATGTGCACGTATTTGAACTGGCCGAGAGCAATCAGATGTACCCAGTGCTTATCCCAGCGCAGGACCAGGAGTCCCACAGAGTCTCCTCAATCCTCAGGATCTGGCTCCAGACCAGTTGCTTTTTCTGTTGATCCTTGCGAGGAATACAATGACAGAAATAAACTGAACACAAGGACCCAGCATTGGACTTGCTCTATTTGCACATATGAAAACTGGGCCAAGGCTAAAAAGTGTGTTGTTTGCGATCATCCCAGACCTAATAATATTGAAGCGATAGAGTTGGCAGAGACTGAAGAGGCGTCTTCAATAATAAATGAGCAGGACAGGGCTCGGTGGAGGGGAAGCTGCAGCAGCAGCAACAGCCAAAGAAGGTCGCCTCCCACCACGAGGCGGGACTCCGACCTGCAGATGGATTTCCAGAGGATTGAGTTGGCGGGCGCCGTGGGCAGCAAGGAGGAGCTTGAAGTGGACTTCAAAAAACTAAAGCAAATTAAGAACAGGATGAAAAAGACCGATTGGCTGTTCCTCAATGCTTGTGTGGGTAAGTTTTTGCATTTTATTGAATGGGATGGGAAAAGATATTGACAGTGACATGAAAGATATAAGCAGGGTCAATATTACTTAGCATTTAGTTCATTCAGCATGATCTTGTTAAACTTTGTCCTAAATTGCCTCCGTTTCATTGTGTATGTGTCTCCATCAATAGGGAGCAAAACTTCTAAGTTACAGTGTTCTACACATCAGTAGTAAAATACATACCTGGGGTTGCAAACGGCTGCTCGATGCACTGAAGGGAGCTGGGGCTGAGGAACACAGCTGCTGCTTCCGTGTGGTAAACAGCGCGAGCACCTTGTGATGGTGGAGCTGTAGTCAGATGTTAAAAATATCACAAAAATGTATGACTCCGAGAAGTTGCACAAACATAATAATGCTGACCTTGAAAATATGATGTCAGTTTTACATGACTGTCATGCAGTAAGTACTTACAAACTCTATGAAACTTGATTTCACAAGGCCAACTGATTCCACAGGTCAATCATGATTTGCGTGTTTTGTGGTTTTAGTGCTTTTCTAAGGAAGTTCTGGATATTGGTCCCAGTTACTGGCTCAGAGCTGTTAAAGGGTAGACATGTTGTAAGTTAATTATTTGTGATATAATTTCACAAAAGCAGTTGACTCTTCCATGTTTTCTTTTTCCTTTATTTTTAAATCCTTATTGAGGATATGTTTATTGATTTAGAGAGAGAGTGAGAGAGGAAGAGAGAAACATTGATGTGAGAACATTGATGTGAGGAACATCAATCGGTTGCCTCCTGTATGCACCTCGACCGGGGATTGAACCCACAACCAAGGTATGTGCCCTGACCAGGAATCGAACCTGCACCCTTTTGGTATATGGGAAGATGCTCAATCAGCTGAGCCACATTTTTTCTTTTGTTTTGAGAAATTTGATTTTGAATATTTGGATGGGGTGCTTTACATTGATACTCAGTTTTGTAAAGGAAATGTTGAGTAACTACTAAAGGTAAACATCTTGTGGAACAATAGTTAAGCTTCAAACATGGCTTCTCTGTATATATATTTTCCCCAGTATTAATTTCTCTCATTTATCCCCTTGAATATAGCCCCAAGAATACAGAAGCCATAACTATATGAAACCTGCAAGTCCTAAGAGGAAATTTACAAAAAAAAAATCTGAGTTTTTTTAGTTTTGCCCTGCAAAAAGAATGTCTTGCAGATGAGCCCTCTGAACACCAAACCCAGCAGGCACTTGTGACGTAGCCCCACATCCCTGCCCTGAGGACCAGGAGGGAAGCACCTTCAGCTTCTCCCTGTGTGGTCCCAGTTCATCCTGGGGTTCTCTGCTCCCTCCCCGAGTTGGGGCAACACAGAGAGTGGTTGTCTTTTTTTTTTAAAATAAGGAAATACAAAAGGGTTTTAATTATTTATTTTAAGAAGTTTTTTTAATTAGGGTTTTTTTTTTAAAAAATTATTTTTTTTAACATATTTTTATTGATTTCAGAGAGGAAGGGAGAGGGAGAGAAACATCGATGAGAGAGAATCATGGATTGGCTGCCTCCTGCACGCCCCACACTGGGGATCAAGCCTACAACCCAGGCATGTGCCCTTGGCCGGAATCAACCCAGGATCCTTCAGTCCGTAGGTCGACACTTTATCCACTTGAGCCAAACTGGCTAGGGCAAAAGGGTTTTATTTATTTTTAATTTTTTAAATTGAGGTCATATTCACATAGCAAAATCCACCATTTTGAAAGTGAACAATTCAGTGGCATTTAGTGCATTCACAGTGTTGTGCAGCCACCACCTTTATCTGGTTCTGAAATACTTTCATCACCCCAAAAGGAAGCCCTGTACCGGTTAAGCAGTTACTTCATATCCCCTTCCCCCCTCCTTCCTGGTAACCAACAGTGCTTGCTTTTTCTGTGGATTTGCCTATCCTGGGTAGTCCATGTAAATGGGCTCTTAGGTGATGTGACCTTTCGTATCTAGGCATGCTTGTCTTTTAGTTTAGCTGCATGCCTTTTGGAACACTTTTAAAAACACTTTTGTAAGCAGTAGCGTACTATGCATATGTTTACTACAAGGTGGTGTTACAGTGCACGTAAGTTTATAGATGGAAATGAACTACATCACAATGATTCTTAACCTCTTCTGGGGCCATCGAATTCTCTGGGAATCAGGTGCATTGCTTCTTCAGGTTAGTGGATCTCAGCATAAGAACTCCTGCTTTGAAGTGTTTTTTCTCCTTGAAACACAAGTTAGACCAACAAGTATTACCTTGCCTTTATGGCTATTATTTCTTGTCTTACAACTACTCTGTCTTCTTGCTGCTACCTTTTATTTCTTTACATATATTTTTTCTTTTCTTCTTTTTTTTTAAAAAAATATTTTTATTGATTTCAGAGAGGAAGGGAGGGAGAGAGAGATAGAAACATCAATGATGAGAGAGAATCACTGATGGGCTGCCCCCTGCTTGCCCCACACTGGGGATGGAGCCCGCAACTCGGGCATGTGCCCTGATCGGGAATCGAACCTTGACCTCCTGGCTCATAGGTAGAGGCTCAACCACTGAGCCACGCCATTCTTCTTCTGAACAAACATCCTTGTACCTCTTCAAATTCTAAGAGCTCTGAGCTCATTTTAAAGGTGGAATAAAAACTACTACCAGCATGACCAGTAGTGGATCTGGTCTTGTTTTATTTACAAATCAGTTTCTTTGTGGTCAAGTTCTGTTCTCACCCATTCCAGAGTTGCTAGGTGCTTAGGGCCACGGATTGACTGTGCTTGGTTTTGGTAATGTGGAGTCTGTCTTTCCCGTCAGGAGATAGTTTTGACTGTTCACTGCACAACATGGCTCCCAACTGTTGTACGCAAGATTATGGTCCTGTTTTTATTGGGCAGTCATGTCCTGTTCTCTGAAATATGCTAAAAGCATTATTCCGTGTTTATATTTTGTTGGGTTAATTAATCTTTACTTGTCTGCCGGCCTCATGTTCTCCAGGTTTCATTAGGTATGTTGTAGTATGGCTTGCTGATACGCATTTAAAAGAACCATTTCAGCACTCGCTTCGGCAGCACATGTACTAAAAAAAAAATCTCCAAAGTATGTACACTAAGTCTAAAATGTATACTTATGACAAAACTGACACTAAGTAATAAGAAACTGGAAAATAAAAACAGCCTCAGGCCAGCTTGGTAGCGGGAAATAGGAAGGAGAAGGTTGTTGTTGAGGAGGTCAAAGTAAACAGAGCCTCAGCAGCACTGCGCGAGGATCTGTCACGTGACTGGTGGGTGTAAGTTTCACGGCGGTGAAAGGAGTACTGTTACTTGAACTTTTTAAGAACATTTGATACCAAGGCAGCCAGATAAATAGTCTACATGAAGCTGATCGCTAGGTCCCAAGGTAGTCTGTCACCTGCTACTGTTTCCTGGCATCCCATAGGCCACAATATTTGAACTTGATTTTTAGTGTGGCATTTCTGTAGTTCTTGGTTTGTTTTCTTTGCTTGTGTTTGCCTGTTTCAAGTTGGTATACCACAGCTGTTTGCACAATCAACTTTCTATCTTTAGAATTTTTTCTGCCCTATGGAATTGCTTTGTGCTAATTACCACTTCTGAGTTGCAAGCCCAGTAGCAGATCTGTGTTCTAATATTTAATTTTTGGAGATCATCTTTTTGGGAATTTAGAGAGGAAGCTAATGAAATTGTTCACTGTTCTGATAGATTTAAGTTATGGTTATTTTTTAGTTTTCTGAAAAGGACTTTACATTTTATTTTTCATTACAGTTTACATTCAGTATTATTTTGTGTTGGTTTCAAGTGTACAGCATAGTGGTCAGACAGTGATATGCTTTACAAAGTGTCTCCCTGTCATTTGCAGTTCCCAGCTGGCTAAGTGCTAGGTTTCCTCTAGGCCAGGGGGCCGGTCTGTGTGATGAGGAATGTGACTGTGCCCTCCTGGAAGACACTCTGCTGTTTAGTGCCCTTTTTTCCTTAACACGTGGCTTTACTTCATGAATAAAGGCAGAGCTTGAGGAAAAGGTCTTGAGTCTTCGACATTTAAAATGATTAGATTTTAAATTACATTTTTAAAAACAAAAATGGTTTGAGTTAAAATATTCTATAAAAAGCTTTTAATAGAATCCAAAATATACACAGACTCCTGCAGCACATCTGTGGCACTGCCTCCATAAAAGGTAACGGAGTGCTGGCGTGCTGGCAGTGCCTTGTGTGTCCTTGGTTCGCTGTGTGCTGCTCTTACCTGGGATGTGTGTGTCGCTATAGAAACTCAGGTCTTGTCCTGGCCCGATGGCTCCGTTGGTTGATCATTGTCCTGTACACCAAAAAGGTTGTGGGTTCGATTCCCAATCAGGCCACATACCAAAGTTTTGTGTTTGATCTCCGGTCGGTGCCTATGGGAGGCAACCTATTGATGTTTCTCTGTCACATCAGTGTTTCTCTCGTTCTCTTTCTTGAAAATCAATTAAAACGTCACCTTGGGTGAGGATGAAAAACAAAACCAAACCAAACCTCAGATCTTTGCACTCCATACCCGTCCTAGCCAAGGCTGCTGATGTTACAGGGAACAGAGTTATGTTAGCATCATGAAAGGAGTGTTAGCTTCAGGTGCTTTTTGGTTTCTAAGGCTTTCCTCTTGTCATATTGGAACTCCGGCTATAAAAGCGCATTTTATGTCATGGCTTTTAAGCGAATTGTGATAATTCTCAGCAATATAAAGATTCCAGTCTGGGGAGCGCACACATTTTCTTTCCCGCGGCCAGTGCAGCCTGGCTGTTGGAGGAGCTGGGGACTGACTCCTGGGACAAAGGCGCTTTCAGGAGCGCGTGTCACGGAGAGGCACGCAGTGGCTGAACTAGAAGGCCAGCGACATGCTTCTGGCCGCCTCTCATCTGCCTCAGGCAGGACTCCTGGCTTTTAGAAATGATGGAGTGCACAGGCCTGCCAGCGAGTCATGTGTCTCCGGGTGCTGAGGAGGGGAGTGACTGGTGATGCCTGGTTATGCGACACTGACACTTGCATATGCATCATTATTTAGTAAAGGCTGTCGTTTTTAAAAGCACTGTATTACATGAACACTCTGAATTATGAAACCTGGATATATCATTTAAATATTAAATATAAAAAGATGTTTAGACTGCAGAGGACTTTACTGTTGACCATAAAATAACTTTAATTTTAAACATTTACTGAACTATGCACAGGGCTAAAACATCAAGCAGTTATAGATAGAAGAGTTTATAAAGAAAAGCACGTGTTTCTCTCTTCTCCACCTTCAGCCCTGCTATGCAGAGGCGACCACTTTCCCCATCAACCTTTTATTCCGAGGAGTTCAAACCGGTGGCAAAGTGACACGTCTCATTCATGGACACATGCCTTCGACCTCGATTTGACCATTGTTACTGCCTCGCACTTTGCTCTCTCCCTTTCTCCGGCTCTGTCTGTCTTTCCGTGTGAGTTTTTCCTGAACCCTTGGAGAGCTAGCCGCAGATGTCTGGGCATTTTGCCTCTAAGTACTTCTGTGTGTGTCATTTCTCTACAAAAACAGACATTTCTCTACAAAGCCATACAATGTAATTATCCAGAGAAATTTAATGTTCAAAGTCCATGTTTATTTTCACCAATAGTTACACTAATAGCTACTGCTCCAGTCCCATTCAGCTGAGGGTTATACATGGTATTTAGTTGTTTTATCTCTTCAGTTTCCTGTAAACAGCACCCCAGGTGTTTTGTTTTCCTTATTTACTCTTTCATGACATTAACATTTTCAGAGTCCAGGCCATTTATTTTACAGAATGATCCTCAATTAGGATATGGTTACATAAAATTTAAACATTTTATCTTTTTTGGGGGGAGGAAGGAATGCTACATAGGTGGTATTTGAAAAGCATTTCTAATATCTCTTAATAATACCCTTTTTATCATTTTTTCTTTAAATTTATTTTAATTTTGGTAAAGTATAGGTAACAAAGTTTTCCATCTTGGACATTTTTAAGTGTATGGTGCAGTGGCACGAAATATATTCACACTAGAGGCCCAATGCACAAAATTCGTGCAAGAGTAGGCCTTCCTTCCCCCAGCTGCCTGCACTGGCTTTCCTCCGGCCCGGCTTGTCTGGAATGACATTCGGTCTAATTAGCATATTACCCTTTTATTATTATAGATTGTTGTGCACCTGTAATCGCCATCCATCTCCAGATCCCTCTTACAAAATGGAAACACTATCCATTAACACTCACTACTCATTCTCCATTCTCCCCCCCCCCCCCCCATTCCCTGGGAACCACCATTCTATTTTCTGACTCTGAGAAACTAACTATTCTAGGGACCTCATATAAGTGGAATCGTACAGTATTTGTCCTTTTGTGACTAGTTTATTTCATTTAGTGTGATGTCTCAACCTTCATCCATGTTGTAGTATGTGTCAGAACTCCCTTTTTAAGACTGGGTAATACTCTATTTTAAGGGAGGGGAGCAGATTACCACCATTATTTTGGGGATATTTATTATTTTAAGCTGGTTATTTTTAAGAAACAGAAGACCCAGAGAGAACCTTTACCTCTCTGTAGCTGCCCCGAATAATATAGCTAGAGGGACCTACTACTCCAGGGGAGCTGTCATTGTATATCAGCGGTTCTCAACCTGTGACCCCTTTGGGGGTCGAACGACCCTTGGGAGGCTGCAGGAGGCAGCTGGTCAGTGGTTCTGTCTCATCATTGATGTTTCTCTCTCTCCCCCTCTCCCTTGCTCTCTAAAATCAATAAAAATATATTTTAAAATGTTTTCTCCTGCTATGCTGCTAAGTTATCCTGGCTGAATTTGAAACCAAGTTTTACAGGTGAGAGAACCAGTCTCTCTCCGTCTGTGTGAAAGGGTTGTTCGACCCGCAAAGGGGTCACAGTTTGAGAACCGCTGGGGGTTGAGAACAATAGAAAGTTCTGCTCTCTCACATATATTGCCTAAGACCATCGGAAAACACATCTATAATTGCATATTGTTTTTGTGATGAATCACTATGCTTTAACTATGTTCAATTTGTAACAATGAAATCGGGGGTCACCACAACATGAGGAACTGTATGAAAGGGTCGCGGCATCAGGAAGGTGGAGAACCACTGTCGTATGTGAACTCCAGTGTAACATTGATCAAGGTCTCCATGTCCCATTGGTCAAGATGGCCCAGCAAACATTTGCTTACCAGACCTTTGCTTTTCCATCTCCATGTGAATTGCCTTCCTCCCTTTGCAGTCCCAGACTACAGCCCCACGGTGTCCTTAGCTCCGTCCTCCGCTCCCTGTTCTTCGGGAGCCCCTGCTTGCACACACACGGTTACGTTTGGTTGTTTTCTCCTGTTCATCTGTCATATGTCAGTTTGGTTATTAGACCAATCAGAAATAAGGGAAAACAGGAAATTTCCCCTCCCCCACAGACGTGTGCAACACATTTTGTGTACCCACTTAGGGGGTGTGTTTGAGAGAGCCTAAGAGGTGGGATCACAACACTGAAGAGAATTGACGTTGGGGCTGAGGAGAGGCATGAAGATCTTACCAGGTTTTTTGTTTGGACGCTTGGGTTGGAGAGCAGTGTCCTTTCCCCAAACACAGGAGACGGGAACGTGCCCGTTAGACACGCTGTCCAGTGGGTTGTTCCATGTGTGGACCTGACACTTTGGAGGGAAGTCGACCACTCAGCGTCCTCGGATCCTGTGAGGCCACGACTCTACTGCGGCCGTGGGACCGGCTCTTCACGGCAGATTCTAGGGGTGTCTTGTGTTGTGCTTGTACCTGGCACCTCCTCAGGATGGACTAACAGCTTTTCAGCATTTCTTCCAATTTGATTCTCTGTTTTAATTCTGAGTATTTTGGCTAAAACAAAGTTATACAGATTTAATATGAACAATAGAAAGTTCTCTCTCATGAGAGGTTTTCCTTTTATTTCCCCCCTCCCCCCACACCCACCTGCTGTTAAATGTTCACTTACCCTCTGGTTTTCTCACTTGTAAAAGGGAGTGGGCTAGACTATTCTGTTTCTCCAGGCCTACCTAAAATACTGTTTTTCTAAAAATCTAAAATTTGGTTTCAAATTCAGCCAGGATAACTTAGCAGCATAGCAGGAGAAAAAATTTTAAAAAATATTTTTATTGATTTTAGAGAGCAAGGCAGAGGGAGAGAGAGAGAGAAACATCAATGATGAGAGAGAACCACTGACCAGCTGCCTCCTGCAGCCCCCCACTGGGGATGTGCCCTTGATTGGATTCAAACCTGGGACCCTTAAGTTTGCAGGCTGATGCTCTATCCACTGAGCCAAACCAGCTAGGGCAGCAGGAGAAGTTTTTACTTGAGGTCAGAAGAGCTTGTGGGATTTGATTTCGGGGGTGACTGTGGTTCTGCTGCTCCCTATTTCCTGGCGAGAGCCCTGGGTTTCTAAGAGCCAGAGGGTCCCCTCCGTTGACTCTCTTGGCCATATTTTAAGTGAACTTTGCAATTTGAACTCACATCATCTGTTTTAATTCATTACCACTTGTCCTCATCTCTGATCACCTTCCAAAGGAACTTTGTGACATGTTCCTGCGAATCCTTCCACTGCGCTCGGCGCCGTTCTCCTGTGTGTGCGAGCATCCGCTTTCTTAGGGAGGTACCAGCATTCAGGCCTCGTTTCCCGTGATTTGGGGCATTTATATTTCCACAGCAGTGGGGTTGCTAACAACCTGATCAAAGGCAAGGAGGTAAGATCTCCAGAGGATAAGCTGTATTTGGCATAGTTTGTCATGATTAATAATAGAACATTTAAAAGCCTAATTAGAAACTCTTTTGACTTCCTGTCATTGACTCTCATATTTATTTCTACAGAGGATGTTTTCATAATGGAGTGAGTTTATGGAATGAGTTGAGTAGAAGCTCATCTTGATACAGTATAGATTAGTTTAAATTAAGGATTTACTTCCAATTGTGATTCTCATCTCTTGGCCTTTTGAAAGGGTTATGACTTGATAGCATTATTGTGGGAATAGAAATGGAAGATTTTAACTTGTTGCCATTGGTTAGTGTATGAAAAATACATCTAGAGGTGATTTGTTTTGTCTGCTCAAACTATTTTTGGGATTGCCACGGAGCTTGCACCTACTTGAAGGTACACTTAAAACTATTGCCCTGACTGGTTTGGCTCAGTGGATAGAGCGTTGGCCGGGGACTGAAGGGTCCCGGGTTCAATTCCAGTCGGGGGCATGTACCTTGGTTTCGGGTACATCCCCCCGGGGGTGTGTGTGTGTGTGCAGGAGGCAGCTGATCGATGTTTCTCTCTCATCGATGTTTCTAACTCTCTATCCCTCTCCCTTCCTCTCTGTAAAAAATCAATAAAATATATTAAAAAAAACAAACAAAACAAAAAACAAACAAAAAAACTATTGCTCATTTTATTTACGAAGCAGCTCCTGGTTAAGCCGGTTTGGCTTATTGGAGGGCATTGGCCTGCGGACTGAAGCGTCCCGAGTTACGCTCTGGTCAAGGGCATGCACCTCGGTTGCAGGCTGGATCTTAGCCCTGGTCGGGTGCGTGCAGGAGGCAACCAAACCATGTGTCTCTCTCACATTGATGTTTCTCCCTCTCTGTCTCTTCCTCTCCCTTCCACTCTCTCTAAAAATCAATGGAAAAATATCCTCAAGTGAGGATTAACCAAAAGAAAAAAAAAAAAAAGGAAAGAGATTGCTGTGACTAAACCAAGTTCCTGATGGAACTATAGCCAAATAGTTAGGAGTATAAAGAAAAGGCATTCAGGGTGGTCTAGTTTCCTTTTAATATGCAGAACCAGCAAGTGAGTTAAACTGCTAGAGGAAGACGCACCCAGACACTAGCCAGCCACAGCCGCAGCTTCTGCTGCCCACGGTGAAGGGCGTTCTGAACATTCCCACTTAAAACCAACTTTTCTCTTTAAGGGCTCCTGACAGTGTGCAAGCTGACTCCAAGTGCACCCTGACCCCCCAGCATAAAGCATGCTGTGCTCTCACAGCTACCATAGAACTCCAGGGTAGTGGTGGGCTGGCCCGTGTGGGCTCAGGTAAGTTCTGGCTTTTTTTTAAACCATTTGGCATTCTTTTCAAAGTTAGTTACCATTATGATTTTGTCATAAAATAAAATAAGGCAAAACTTTGAAAACTGTGCCATACATGGGGGAAAAATAAGTCTGTTTTCTAAACATCTACAAGCCAGCTCCATCTCCCGACCAGGAGTTCCATAGTAGCTATGAGGTCCCTGCGAGCTATGCTGTGGCTCCAAACGCAGGGGAGCCAAAGCAGGTGTACAGCTGCTCGTAATAAAAATACAGCAGTGAACAAACAGCAATACCGGGAGAAACCATTTTGCATACTCACAACTGTTAATCTACTTTTGCCCACTCTGTATATTAATTTCTGGCCCAGCTACACAACAATAATATACGTGTTTGTTTTCTTTAACAAGTTTATATTTTAGTAGAGGCCCGATGCACGAAATTCATGCAAGAGTAGGCCTTCCCCCAGCTGCCGGCACCGGCTTCCTTGCAGCCGGAAGTTTGTCCGGTCTAATTAGCATGTTACGCTTTTATTATTATAGATAATCTATAATATAGTATCTTTCATTTACTCTCTGGTCTTCATGTTTAAAGTCTCCTAACACTTTATCTGTACCTGCTCCACTGCTTAGCCAGGCATGTATTTCATTCCATCAGTTTTGAATTAAAGCCCTAAAAGCTAATCTTCTCGGAGTGGCTTTAGCTGTCCCTTATTTGCCTTCTTAGTGTGAATGGGGAAGTGACGGCCGGGCCAAAGCTTTTGTGAGAGAGGGAGGCTCAGTTACTCTTGGAGGCAGGTGAGATGTCCGCACCAGAAGCATCTGGACTCTCTCCTCTGCTAGAACGACCCTGCTTTCCCGCTCTCTGATGGTGAGATTTTCCCGCTGACAAGGATTTGCTCTTTCGCTACCTACCAACTCCTCTACCTTCCTACTTCCCTTTTGTTCCCTAACATTAACAAGTGGTAGAAATGCAATGTTATATGAGGAACTCAAAGGCATTTTATAAGTTATTTTGCACATACGCTGTTTTACCCCCCAAGTAGAAAACATGTGGTAGCTAAGTTTTTAGGTTATCCAAGTGTGGGCCAACCCCTTTTGAACACCATGTGTACAGGGATACCCACCTTTCAAGAAACTGCCTAAACTTGATCAGTGGCTCCCCTTGAACGACGTGTAATAGAACATACCAGAAATGAGGACCGGTCCGTGATTCTCTTGTGAAAATTTTTTTTAAATAATATATATATATATATATATATATATATATATTTTTTTAAATATATTGATTTTTTATAGGGAGCAAGGGAGAGGGATAGAGAGTTAGAAACATCGATGAGAGAGAAACATCGACCAGCTGCCTCCTGCACACCTCCTACTGGGGATGTGCCCGCAACCAAGGTACATGCCCTTGACCGGAATCGAACCTGGGACCCTTCAGTCTGCAGGCCAACGCTCTGACAATGAGCCAAACCGGTTTTGGCCTCTTGTGACATTTTATTTGTAATAAATTTACTCACCTTTGTAGCTGAAAACTCTCCAGTAACTGGTGAGCTTTTAATTATGGTTCATGAAAAAAAATACATTCCCAAAACATCAGATAATAAATTGCTTTCCTTTTAAATACTACTTTGTGCCTATACTTAAGTTTGTGTTTTTCATGTTCTGAGAAGTTTGGAGAATTTCACACTGAAGAATGGAGGGCAGCATCTCTATTCACCCTCGCCCTCTGCCGGGGACGCGCAGTCGCACCTGCAGGTTATGCAGAGCTGGGGTGGGGGCGAGCCTTTGTCGGCTTAGGAATTGCACTCTGTCAGCTCAGTTGATACACAGCTCACCCCTGGGAAGTTCTGTTCACAGGTTTAAACCCTGTATTTGGAGGCAGACGGGGTGACGTTGTAACCAGGACTTGGAAGCCTCTTGCTCACTTTGTCATGCTATTTGGTATCTGGTCTGTACTCCGCCCCCCTCACTCTGTGCTACTGAGTCTCTACTTACAGAAATCCCTCAGAAGCTTTAGAGAGGAAATGAACTCTTAAGCAAGACTGTCTAAGAGGAGATTCTCAGCGGTGAGGTAGCTAAAAATAGGAACACTGATTTGGAGGATCTCCCCTTTCTCCAGACAAAAGACAGAAATTGCTGGTGAGCTTTAGGGGCCCCCATCTTTGTCTTTAGGAGATAAAAGTACCCGTGTGCGTTGTACACGCACACACCAGTGCGGGCTGGCCTTCCTCCTGACCTCCTCAGGGCGGGGGTCAGACTTTTCGGTCCTTGGTCTGCTTGCAGAAGTGCTGGGAGCATTTCTGTGTCACACACACAGGGTGTTTGGAAGCCCTTTATGTCTTGGGGGTGGGGTTCCAGCTGTCCCTGGCCTTTACATTGAGGAACGCATTCGTCTCCGCTGCTGGGAACAGAAATACGCCTCATGGATTCCGCACCTGGAAACGTGTGCGGCTGGAAAGGGGCCATTTCTCTGGGGACAGGATGTAGATTTCCAGAAGGATTTTTGGCCCCAGAGTTTGAACACTTTCGATGCTGGCTTTTCCTGGCGTACACGTGATGAAAAAGGACAGTTTTGAGTTGAGGAATCATGTTTTACTGTCTTTGTGTTTCTCACGTTGCCTAGCGTAGTGCTCTGCATGTCACGGCACTTAGTGAGGTGGGAATTGAATTCTCATTTTAAAGCTTGGTCATTTTTAATGAGTGTGCCATGTCATACTCCCAGGAATAGCTCTTATTTATCCAATTCCTAATTCAAGAGCACAGCGACAGACACTGTAGAATGCACTAAGCACAGGCTTGGTCAGTGCCAGTACCCACCCGCACAGTTTCCTGGGCTGCAGTCGTGGTGCTTCGCCTTGTTTTCAGGTGTTTGTGGTGCATTCGAAGCTCGCCAGCACCTTTATTTCTTCTGTCAAGGCTTCGTGACGAGGGTCACTGCCTTCACCCAGCGCTCATTTGTGTTGAGATTAATAATGTGGTTCAGTGGGAATGGAAAGTTCCTTATGGATTTGGAGAAGGTGATACTTGTTTTATCTCTTCACTTGCTGTTTATTTTTATTTATTGATTTATTTTTTAAATATATATTTTATTAATTTTTTTACAGAGAGGAA